TGTCGCCTCTTAGGGACTGAGCGTGACAGCGAACATACAAGTCTATGATCACCTTTAGACGGAGTAATCGAGGATTGCACTATCTTACATTAGCAATTAAATGATATCATCCAGAAATAAAGTGTTCCTTCAGTTGGCTATATTTCATTGGTGAAGCAAATCACATGGCCACACCCTAATTTTAGACGATGTGGAAGTATAGTTTCACCTTGTGCCTGAAGAAAGCAAAGCAGAGTATTATTAAACATTACCATTGGCCATCACAAATATTGTCTGTAAAACTTTAAATCTTTTAGTATAATTGAAGGAAATGCCTTGAAGATAATAATAAAGCTTTCTCCTTCCACTACATACATTAAAAGGCAAAAAACTTCTAGAAGTATAATTGGATTCTATTATTGCTTATCTGAATTAATTGATCTCATGTGTAATTAAGTTTTTATTACTATACTTTAATATTTCTGTTCTATTGGGATTGTGTGCTTATTATTACATTATTTTTACTTTTATGATACTACTGTTTATATCAAAAAAGAATAAAAGTTCAAGTATGGTTGTGAGGAAAAGTAGTTATTCATATGGGAAATAATTAAAGTAGATCCCTACAGTTTTAAATGGACTGAAGATAGTAAGTGTGTACAACCTTTACAAGAAAACCAAAGAGGCTCTCTTGTAAGTCCTGGGTCAGGTAGTAAAAGCACAAATCATAAGGAAAGTAATATACTTAAACAAATTAAAACATAAGCCTTCTGTATCATAAACCAAGAGAGACAAGACATAACATGGGAGAAGAGATGGTAATGCGTATAACCAATAAAATACTGATAGCTATAATATTTAATTTAAAACATTCAAATGATTAAGAAAAAGAAATAAAAAAATGGGCAAAGACTTGAACACTAAATTTATAGAAGAGTAAAAACAAATGGTGTCTATTCCTGAAAAGATGGCTCCTCTTACCAGTAATTGGGGAGATGCAAAATAAAGCACGTCATCAGCGGAGTCAAAGCGAAGGAGTCTGGGAGAGCTCTGTGGTGGAGAGCGTGCACAGCGCTGGGATCCTCACGCACTGCCAGTGTGAGTGTGAATGGATTCAACTACTTCGGGGAGAAACTTGACTAACGATGGTAAATTGAAGTTGTGCTCCTACTTAACCCTGGCAATTTCCTTTTTACAAACCTCTCTCAAATCTGAGCACAAGAACACAAGTGCAGCCATGGTCCTCCAAGCCTGGCTTGTAAGAGCAAAGCAAAGGAAAATCAGGAACCGATCATTAGCAGTTTGATAGATCAATTATGTTGGAATACTGTATCATGGTGAAAGTAAGTACATAGTGTCACATGGATACATAATGAAAGAGAAAAAGGCCATGTAAAACATTTACAACCTACAAATAGCACTATATAAAGTATCATGCGTAAGTAAATATGGGATCATAGTTGCTTCTGTAGGAGACAACAGTGAAGAAACTGCTATCAGGGAGAGCGTTCCCAAGGACCTCTCAGATCTGTAGTTTCATTTCTTTCAAAAATTCCACAGTAAGCATGTTAAAGTACTGGCTTTTTACAAAACGGAGTAGTGGTACCTAGGTGTTTTTTTCTTTAGACTCTTCTGTGCGCTGAAGAGTCACTTTCTTCCAAAAGATGTTGGCTTAGACAGTTAGGAAAAATCTTTCAAAAGCTCCGGTTTTAATTCATGCTGATGTTTCAGAGCTTTTTCCTTA